TCCTCTACGTCGCCCTCCCGTCGCCCGCCCAGCGCGGGGCGATCCTGCGCACGCACGCCCGCCGCTACCCGGTCGACCCCACCGTCGACCTCCAGGCCCTCGGCGAGGATCCTCGGCTGGAGGGCTTCAGCGGCGCCGACCTCGCGGCGTTGATGCGGGAGGCCGCGTTGGGGGCCCTCCGCGCCGTCTACGCCGCCCGCTCCGCCGACGAGCTCGACACCCTCGAGCGCGATCTCACCGGGGAGGCCCTCCACGCCGCGGAGCTCCCCACCATCCGCCCGGACGACTTCGAGGCGAGCCTGCGGAAGGTCCGCCCCTCCGTCTCCGCACTCGATCGCGCGAGCTACGACGATCTTCATATGGAAATCACCGAGTCCAAGTAAGAGGGAGGGGGTTCTGGGTTGCTGTGACGATTAAATGTGGGATGCTGCTGCCCCCCCCTCCTCGGAAGGGGTGGTTTAGGTGGGATTCCTTTGGTAAGGAAATACCCTCCCCCCCACACACGTAGCCGCGGATATAATGCGAATCCTACGAAGAGGGGAGGGAGATGTGAATAGGGAGCGTCGGAGAGGGTTTCGGTTAAACGTGGAAGGTGATTCATGGATACGAGTCGGGCTCCCTTGTGGTTGATTCATCCTCCTTTTTCTTTTTTGCTTCCTGAACTTCAAAAAACGTTAAAGAAAACGTGTTGACTCTGGCGGCTTTTACTGATTCTCATCCCGCTTTGTAGGAACCCACCACCCGGTATCGGAATACGCTAAGGTGACTTGTCTACGGCTATGGGATTCTGAAGACATTGCTCACCATTTTTGAGATTGTTTCCCTCCTCGCATTTTTGGATGCGAAAACTTCAACTGCGGGCGTTGGGGTTTAATCGATTTATACATGTGTCGGTATCTCCATCAACGAATTGGGCAGGACTAAACAGTCAATATATTCTATTGTACATCCATTTCAGACGAGATAAGAATCACAGCGAAGCATGCGACTAATCTCTAAATCTTGGTAATGACAACCACTGAAGAAAAGTAATCCATAATCAGTAGAATATATATATATATATATTTAGGTCGATTTTTATAGTGTGCCCTATGCTTGCTATGCTTGTGCAATGGAAAAGAAGTTTCTTGAGAACAGGAGTCGTGATACTCTATATCTTACCACCTATGTCGAAACAATAAACCAATATAGTTATTTACAAGTACATTTTGCAGACCCCTGCAAAAAAGGAAAATATTTTTAACAGAGAAGGAAACCAAGTATCATAGGCACTTCAGTCTTTATTAGCATGCAAGAGACAGACCTATCAACGACCAACCATGAGGTGAGCTACCAAACTGATAATTCCAGCATAAATCTGCCTTCGGGCACGAATGGTGAGCAGTCGATCCCCACTAATCCGAGCACCACGGTTGTGAATTCAAGTGTTGGCATTCAGAGCCCTTTAGGGTTGCATACTTCCACTACGAGCATCGGAACGGCTCAGTATCCGAGCACTAAACGCTCCGTTTCTATGTTACAACGAAGCAAAAAACGAGGTGCGGGGCCTCAGACGTTGTACGTCCGTCCCTCCGGCCCCGCCGCCGAGACGTTTATTCTCAACCGAAAAGATGACGACAAGGGAAGAGTTGAAAACCTGCCCTTCCGAGGAGAATCACTCGATTCGGGAGACAAAGACCGCTCCGCGAATGACTTCCCGGGAGTCGTTCCATGCGTCTTTTCCAAGCTCAGCACAGCCTCCGGGCAGACGATACGGGGCTTCCACACGATGGTCCGTGGCCTTGACAGCCCGATCCTGGCGGTTGGGGCGGTTTTTCTTTTTTTTCTCGTGGTGGACATCCTCCTCCTCACTCAGGCGCGATTGATTATTCATAGCACACTTCTTATACGCACCGAACTCAATGAAGAGCTCCTTTTCTTTGTTTCGAGCCTTGGGGAGTCCTATTATCAGAAGAATCGTAAACTCGAGACGTTGATGGCGTCCTCTCCCAATGGTCCACGAACACTTGAGCAGGCGCGGGTGGAGGCAGAGGTAAAGCTACTGGAATGCATGTATAATCGGAGCCTGTCTAAATTTCATCGCGAACTTGGCTACCTAGGTGACATTAGCGACCTTCAGTTTCTTCTAAACTTACATTTTATGTATGAAGATGAGCTTCGAACTATGATGCAGGAGGAGCGGCATTCGGTTTACTTGTCAGATAAGATTAGACATTTACGGAAGAATGAACAGTACCCTAGCGCAGCTGTCACTAATCGAAAAAAGGCCTCCTATCCCCATAGCATCACAGAGCAGGATACAACCGCAGCATCGGGTGCAATGGACTTAGCTGATGATCTGCGGTATACGATCGATGCGTTTGTTTCGACGGCGCTGGGGAAAGCGCAACTAAGGAATGGTTCTATGGACATAAATTCGATTGAAAATGGCATGTATTATGACAATTTTGAATACACAAGAGTGAAGGAAGGGCGCTTCACTTTCTTACCAAGTATCTCCAAAGGGATAACGAGGATGGGCAAATCAATCAAGGGTTTAAACGATAATGAAGTGAAGTCTCGTTCATTTTTACTGAAACGATTTCTCTGCTTCATTTTAATGTGTGTGATTTTGTATGTCTGCTTTTATTTTCATTAAGATGATCTGATCTGGGCAATCGAAGGAACCTCATAAGCCGCTTGTGTGATGCTTATCACATGATTATCTGGTTTCGTGTTTGCCTCTTGGCGTATGCCTTATTCCTCCTTCCCTCCCTCCCTCCCCTTGGCATGTGTAATTATATTAGAATTGTATACACAAGTTTTTTCCTTATTTTGTGCTGACGTTACTCCATTTACCATTTCGGCGTTTACACACACACCAGAGAGATTTATAACATATCTAGTTATATCAGTTTTTTTTCCAATCAACGGGTTCTATCAGGCAGAAATTTTTTCCTGGTTTGATTCTTTTTTTGTGAGAATGCGTCTTCTCTATGCGTAGTTTCTACAACCTACTTCCCATCCGTTCTTAATACATATGCAACTACTGAGAAAGTAACTGTGTTATGGATGAGGTGATACTCCATATCTAGTTGATTATTTTCAATATGATTTCACTTTAGTCCAAGGAGGACGTATAATTGAATCTTTTTTGCTGCCGCTCTAAACACTTCCTTTATCGTACAAATATCTATATCTATATATACATAAATATATATATATATATATATATATATGTTAGTAGCAGTCTCATAGGGAATGAGGCACCTTTTACGCACCTCGCGGCGACTTTGCATGCGTTTCGACCACGAAGAGCCTCCCAAAGGGGGCTCTACGGGCGATTCCAAGGCCTCCACGTCGCGCATCCAGTTTATGCCGTTATCGGAATCAATGAAGCCGAAGGAGGTCCCCGCGGACTTCACGCCTTTTCCTCTTCCGAAGTACGACCCCTCGTTAGGGTTCGGACCGGTTCGTTACAAAAATATTCCCGATATCGAAACGAGCCGGCAGCGCATGCAGCAGGGATCGGCTTCGAAGGAAAGGCTCACCTACGCGTGGGGGGAGGACGAGTTCGTCCAAGCGGATGCCTTGCAGGCGGGGGATCTTTTCGGCGAGGAATTCGACCTCGCCCCGCATTCCACCCCGGAAACTCCGGCGCGTGATCCCCTTTCCACGCCGGTGGCGGTCCAGGATGGCGATCTTGGAGGGTATGAGGTGGATAAGCATTTCCCTTATATCGATCGCCTGCATTGTCATCGCTCGGTCGACGACCTCCTCGCGCAGTTCACGAATCGCCCGCAGCAGGAGGCGCGCACGGCGACGGTGCTCGACCTCGCCGCGAGTTTACCACGCTGTAGCGATCAGGAAATCGAGCGGATCTTTGAGGAGCTCAGCGTGCTTTTCACCCCGGAAGGCCACGGATTGCGTTTTTTCACCGTCAAAGTCGTCAAGTTCGGCCGCCCGTACTTCGTTTCGAGCAGTCTGATGGAGGCCTTCCTTCGGCTTTTGGAGGCCGCGACGGAGCTGTTCACGACGACGCAGCCCGAGCGTCTCGCGGGATCGCCTTCGTTGTGCATTCGGTTGCTCCATTTTCTCGCGCTCGTGCGGGTGTTTGAGCCGAATGGGTGGTTTTCGGGCAATCCGAACATGCCGTCCAACCGTGCGGATTACTCCCACCCGCGGGGCACCAATCGCACCGTCGCGCACCGCCGGATCGGCGAGGACTTGTTCGACCACCTCACCAACCTCCTCCTCCGCGAGGAAGGCGGGGAGGGAAATCCCGCAGGCGGCCTCCTCGCGCGCTGCCCCCCCGCGGCGCTGCTCGATTTGCTCAGCGGCTTCGCCGCCGTCGCGCCGGGGGGGCGGCCGGAGGGCGCCGTCCTCCAGGCGATCCTCCGCCGCCTGCGGGCGGGGACGGCGGGGGAACCCCACCCCCCTATGG